CGTTGTCGTTGTCGTTGTCGTTGTCGTTGTCGTTGTCGTTGTCGTTGTCGTTGTCGTTGTCGTTGTCGTTGTCGTTGTCGTTGTCGTTGTCGTTGTCGTTGTCGTTGTCGTTGTCGTTGTGTTGTTGTTGTTGTTGTCGTCGTCGTTGTCGTTGTTGTTGTTGTTGTTGCTGCTGCTGTTGTTGTTTGTTGTTCTACTTGGTATTCTTCTTGATACTGTTCTTGTCTTTGTTTGTTATTTTTATTGGTGTGGTTCTTGTTGTTGATTTGTTGTTGTCGTTGTTCTTCATGTTGTTGTTCTTGCGGTTGTTATTGTTGTCGTTGCTGTTGTCATTATCTACCTTTTTCTCATCGTAATCGCTAGACGTGAGTTGACCACTGTCCTCTTTGACCATGTAATATTGAATAAGTCTGGAAAATAATTAAACCGTGACGATTAAGATTTATTATGTTTCTTTACCTAATGCATTTCCAATCTCGTTCCCAGGGTCATGTGGGGGTTAGCCACGAACGTAAAGGAGAGAGCCTGGGAACGAAATTGATACATTTTGGCCAAATCAATAAGCCCTCCGGCCCTTCTCTCTATTAACAGCCCCCTAATAGACGATTTAAGGAATATCTACAACTACTACTTGATGTTATATATCATAGTCGGAATATATACTGGGTTTCTATCCTCTAAAGTCTTACTTATTCTTTTTAGTAATTTCGTCCACCAAAGTGTGGTTATGTTCCTCTAGGAAATCTATTTTCTCATTCTTCTTCGCATGTGTTTTCTGAAGTTGACAAATTCGTTCCACCATGATCGATTTCTCGTGATCGAATTCATGATTGCTCGTTTTATTATGAGATGATTTTGTTTTTATTTCCACCTGCGTTGACATCTACATGATAATGAAGGAAAGATGTTTTGGTTTTATTTAGTTATTTAATGAATAGAAGCATTGGAAGGGCTCAAAGACGAAGAAATGCCTCTCTAATAGTTTCTATGAACCTTAATAGCTTATCAGTCTTATCAGTCTATGGTGTTTCCAATCTTGAATGCCAAATGGCCTTCTATTTGGGGCAGTCTGGATTAGGTTTGAACCAAAACGTTTCGAGAACTGAAATTCGCCGCAACACAAGGACGGAAATATTTTGGCAACGCATGAGAAATTCACATCCCCAATATTCCACGACAGTCGACATGCCTATCAGTGGTCGCAAATTAACTGTCAGCTACTACAAGTAGCTATATCAAGCGCAAAGACCATTCATAAACTTACCAAATCGTCAGAGTTATATAATGAAACCTGCAATGAAACAAAACCTTTTATTATTTACTATTACAAATTTATAATTATAATATAGCATTTGTAAATTCTGAACGCTGATTGGCTAAGAGCCGTGTTGATATAACTCCATGTCAACACGGGAAATTTTCCGCCGCTTGTAAACACGGAAATTTTTCTTATTCTTCGGGCTTTTGACATTGCTATATTATAAAACAAATATAAACATTTTTCCGTATTGATATATAGTTATATCAACACTCGTGGAAGTTGGGAAAACTCGAAATTGTGTGAAAACACTCCGCCCTTCGGGCGTCGTGTTTCCACACAATTTCTCGTTTTCCCAATTTCCACTCGTGTTGATATAACTGTATATCAACACGGAAAATGTTTTATATTTGTTAAATATAATATATGTGGAAAACGTCAGAACAAAGACCCTTTCGCAATTTCTGTTTCCATTAAAGGTGCGATGTTCTTCTTCTGACGGATGTGAATGAGTGGATGAATTATGAATGAGTGATGAGCAGCAAAAATTGCAAATGTAAACGGTTACAGTCGCCCAGGTTTTGATCCATGAGCCCAGATCTTTATTGCTGCTGAACTATATTATGCTTTCCCAGAATACATATATCTTACCCCTCCATTGTTCACTCCATAAGCAGGTGGGGATAACGGAGGATGATGGGTGTTGTTCATGGATTGGTGTGCTATTACGTTATCAGTTTTATCAATTGAACCGCTGGAAGGTGCACGTGAATCACTATCCAGACGTTCTTTCGTCGACTTCTTTTCCATAGAATCAACTTTCCTGTTTCAAGAGGAAAACAAAATCGTTTAAACTTCAAGAGAGGTTTTCTCATGCAGCTAAACTGAAGTTGTTTACCTTTTTGACTGCTGCAGCTGTCTTGTGATATCCTGTAATAATAATGACGTTAAGCTGGAGTAATAACAGCAACAGAATTGCTGAAACTTGCAACAAAATGTGATTTCAACGCATATTAAGCAGAAATGTTGACACATATTACCTCTTATGTGTGAACATTTTCAATTAACATGCGTAGAAATCAGATTTTGTTGCAAGTTGCAGCAATCTTGTTGCCCGTATTATTCCACCTTTAATGAGAAAGTAAGCTTGTCAAGGAAAACTCGCTCGTCTGCATGTGCGGGGCTTTGTCAGATTGTGAATTTTTAGCGTGAAAGTTCCCACTCTCGTTCGCTCCCTTTCATACCTTTAAATGTGCCGCGTTTTTCTTTTTCGTCACTTTAAGTTCGTTCTTGATATCCTCCAGATTGGTTGCCAATTCTTGCACTAGAAAAGAAATGTACATGTTTAAAAGACGTTACTATAATGTAGACCATCGGTTGTAGAGAAGAGCTGAAACATTTCCCCTGAGGACGGGAGGAGAAGGGTCTGTCACTTGGAAAGGATCGACAGTGCCAGTGCCCAGTGGCAAAGGATTTGAAGGCAAACTCGAATGGCAGGCGAAATTCCTTTAGCCCAGGAGAAGAAGTCAATGGCGGGGATTCGTGGTTCGATGTGCGGACACGCACGGAGCAAGCTGGAACGAAGACGAAGTAATTCTAGCGGTAGTATTCTATCTATCGGTTTCACTTGCCAATGGACGATTCTTTGTCGGAGTAAACACTAAGGAAACAAGATCTACTAGATACCTGCTTTAGTTTTTTCTCCAAGTTTTTCCTGCAACTCAGTTTCTTTAGCACATTTGGCTTGTATTTCACTCTTCAGAGACGAATTCTGCAGGAGAAGAAACCTCATAACGCGTTGGAAGTGACTTGCAATTCACGGCCGAGTATAGTGAAACAAGTACTTAGGAAAGGAATGTCAAACTTACCAAGTTATTGTTATTTGCTTCAAGATTGCTGCAATTTGTTTTCAATCCCTCATTTTCTTTGTTCAGAGCTTCATTCTACGACAGCAAGAATACCAAAAATACCAGGTGTTATATCTACATGTTCACTATTTTTTTAAATGTTTGCTCATGTTTAATTTTTGTTCATTAATTAAAGTACTTTATACGCACCTGGGCTTGAATGACGGACAACGTTGACTGTAGTTGAGTGCATTTTGCAGTCATCTTTTCTATATAGTCAAGCAGTTCTGATTCCTTCGCATGAACAGCAGCCATCTCTGATTGAAGTTCACTGACAGTGTAAGTTAGCTGAGTCTTTTCAACCGACAGTTTCTGGTTGCTCTCTTCAGAACTAACAGAAATAGTTCAATAAGTGAATTCGAGATTTTGTCAGTGCGCCGCTCTATCAAATGTTACAAAAACCCATCATCCAAATCCCAAGTATTAAACATATATCAAAAATCATATTGGGAGTTAATGGTTCTTCAATATATATAGCTAAAACTGTACATATCAGTATGAGAATTCTTTTAATAAAAGCAAGCATTGTGCCTGAAAAAATTTAGTCCTTACTTGAACAGGAGACTTTTTAATTTCTCTAAATCTTCAATCCTTATGATCTGGTTATCCATCTCTTTCCTCTGGTTCGCCACGGTTTTCTCGTAAGTTGAAATAGCCAGAGCATACTTTGCAACCTTCTCCTCCAAATTTTTCATCTGCTTGATGAAATTTTAATATAGTAAATGGAAAATATACATGGGTTGGTTTCATCACACTAGGGAAATTGACTGAAGTTATCAGTGGACACAGACCTTTGTGTTTAGATTATTGTTTTCTTCGCTCAAGTTTTTAACTTCTTCTTTCCTCTTACTGAGTTCTTGTGAAAGATTTTTATTGTTCTATATTAAAGAAATCATGCAGTAGTGCAGTTAAGACCTGTCCTCTCTACAACTCAAGCACAGGCATAAGAGGGATCAAACATATTGATTTCTTATGCACTGTCCTCGCTATAACACAACATAAGCAGGGCCGTATTAACCACGTGGCAGATGCGGCATATGCAGCTGGCCTCGCGCTTATGGGGGCCTCGCGCTTGACTGTGCCACGCCCATTTTTACGAGAACACGCCTATTTTCTATTGGGATACGCCCATTTTAGGTGCCTCACGAATTAGGGACATCTCGCCTTTAAGGCCCCTAGGATTGGCAGTTTACCCCAGGAAAATAACAATACTTGTATGCATGTAATCTCCAGTTGCGCTGATCTGTTATACATGATCCTGTTTATACTTGTTGACCCAACAACTGGGCCAGGCAGGCAATTGTTTATAATTGATGCCAATCAATTGAAATATTGAAAGCAATTATTTAATAATTTTGTGTGTCTTTGAATTGCAAAGGTTTTCATAACGGGGTTGAGGGGCCTCGCGCTAAAATCTGCCACGGGCCTCGCGCGACGTTAATCCAGCCCTGAACATAAGCATAAACATAAGCATAAACATAAGAATATCAAAACATTGCATTCATTTCCTTATGCTTATGTTGTTGCTTAGGCTTGTGCTTTATATTGCGTTGTAGTGAGGACACAGCATAAGAACATCAAAGTGTTCCACTTGCTTATGCTTGTGTCATAGTTAGGACCAGACTTTAGTGAAAACGTAATTGTGTCTGATCGGGCAGCAATCTTACAAATCTTCTACCTCGTCTTGGGTTGCAATCGACTGAGTATGTTTCTGTAATTCTGATTTTTTTTGTTTTAATTCTTGATCCAGCGAGATTGATTTCATTTCCTCCGATTCCTGAAAATATATACAGAATGATGTCGCCTGAATCAGTTCCCATTCAGGAATTGTGCCCCCCCCCCCCGAAAAAAATTGTCACCATCCACTGCCCCTGATATTGAACAATCCTACTGAAATTGCAATCATCTTGGTTCAGTTAAAATACAAAAAACTGTTTACCTGGTACTGTTTTATCATTGCTTGACAATCTGCTCTAATCTGTTCCCCTTCTTCTTTTGCTTCTTTCAGTTTTTGTAAAGTTTGTGTCAACTTTGTTTTTGTTTCCTATACAGGTGCATGGCAAATATTATAAGAAATCATCTTCTGAATATCATATTGAGCCAAAAACAAAACCACCTACCTTATGAGCATCTAATTCAGACCTCAGTTTATTCTGTGCCCACTTCACTTTAACAACGTGCGAGTTTGTGTCTTCTTGTGCTTTCTCGACTTCCTTCTGTTTTTCAATTATCTCTCTCTCTTGATCGAGTAGTGATGCCTGGCATGTTTTGTACTCAGATTGAATTTTCTTTACATGTTGCTGCAGTTTCTCGTTTTCCTTGGAAAACATGTTTGAGTAAGATTTCATAGGTGAAGCTTCAACATATCCTTCCAGAAAGTTCTAATTCTTCGCTATATAGAGCTTCGTTCTTGTGATTGAATTAGCTAATAAGTTTTAGGACTTTTCATCTCTTGTTTTTGAAAAAATTACACAATCATCCAGTTGCAAAAGAGAAATTATATCTCTAGGTCAAAATCTGTGAAATACTGAATCATGAAAACGAGGCTCTACAGCTAATCTCAATCATGAAAACGAGGCTCTACAGCCAATGAAAAGTACTTTCCAGAAAGCTACTGGCAGTTAACATGACTTTTCTGCTTTCCTTTGGCCAAGTGTTACAATATTAAAATGCCACGTTTTGAGATAACTAAGAAGTATAGTTGCAGAAAAACAGGCCATCCTGGGAATGGCCTTGCAATATTCTTCCCAACAAACATGAAAGAAATTACATGCTCTGGACATTTCAACTCAATTTGATTGAAAACTCAATTTTTCTTGGCATGCTCACCTTCAGGAAACATGGCTAAAAACACTGTTTCCACAAAAAAATACTTCCTTGTTTGTCCAGTGGATTACAAACTTCACCTAGTTTACTTTTTGAAATGTAAGTTATAAAAAAACAGGACACTAGTATAACTATATTCAGTACCTTTGCCAACTCTGACATTTTCTTATCCATGGTATCTTGCATTTTGGAAATTTCTTGTTTCTCTTCCGTAAGTTGAGAGACCTTTACTGTCAAACTATCACGCTCCCGTAAACACTCTTCGTACATTTTTGTCACCTGATCAACTCGGAGTTGTAGCTCTTTCTTGAGAGAGGATATTGCTTTCTTCGCTGCCAGATCATGAGCATGAAGCTTATCTTTTGTGACAGCCAATTCTTTATTACAATCATCATATTGTGTCTCTAGAGTTCTTACTTTGTCTTCTAGCGTTTTGGAATTTGAATCGTTTTCATCATTGGATGATGAAACTGTAATCTGGAGGTCTTTTTTCTCTTGAATAACACTACAAACAGATTGAAGTCACTTCTGAGGCAAAGGTCTGAAAATAACCCAACCTTTAAATAATTCCAGTCTTAGTATAGACCAATTGCGAAACTTAGTGGCCGCGCCTTCATACTGCACGAGAACGAGGCTTATTATGCAAAAACAAAACAATTTCTATATTTTTACATAGCAAAAAGTGAATTTTAGGGTTTTTAAAGTGTTTTTTCTTGAAGGTTTTGCCAAGTGTTATTGATGAATGTATTTTTCAAATATCATCCAATTACAGTGCGTCTACTGTAAATGGGGCCACTTAGAGAGCACTAACCAATCGCATTGCAGAACAAAAAGAAACATCTAATCAAACTAAAGCTCGTCCAATCAAAAGAAAGATTCAGGAAGCCATTAACTGCTGTGTTTACTTTTACAAGTCTATTTTTACCGTTTGACATTCGTTTATTTGTTCGAATTGTTTTTGCCCTAATGCTGATTGGCTAATGCGCCGTTTGTTGATTTTTTCACTTTCTGTTCTGCAATGTGATTGGTTAGTGTTCTTTAAGTGGCCCCACTTACAGTAGACGCACTGTAAAGCTGAATCAGCGCCATTAGTCATTGTGTGTAAACATACCTTTAGCAACAAACCAGATGAACTGACGAAGACACTATGACCAGCCTTAAGGCCTGGTCACACTACACAATGATAACGATACGATAAATTGTAAACACACGATAATTGGCAAACAAATTATGTTAGTGTCCACACTACGACAAATATGATAAAATTATCGTTTGAATATAACGATTTTAAAAACGATCACAAGAGCGATATTTTTTAGTTGGACGATAACGATAAATGTTTGACCAATCAGCACGCGTATACAAGTTATCGTATCGTTATCGTTGTGTAGTGTGACCTGGGCTTTAATCTGGTTACTCAAACCATGACTGATTAGATATGCAAGAATGTTCACCATTTAACTGTCTTTGAATTCTCAAGAGATTGATTGAAATGCATTTTACCACATGGTATGTCAATGAACTGATACTTAACATCACTATGTGGATAAATTATGTCATGCAATTATTTTAAGGAAATGCCATGTGGCACTTCCTGTAATCTCTTTAAGTACCATATGTTAATTTCTGCATAAAGTTATAGTAAATAAAATAAAATAAAATAAAAAAATTAAAAAGTGATTATTTTAATAAAGAGGAATATGCAGTCACACACGAAAATGAACTCTTTTTTTTAACTTTACTCAAAGTACAAAATTTATTAACATTGTAATTTAATCTTGCAACACTCATGACCTGAGTTATTTATCTTGTAACAGAATATTTTGTAACATATTACCATATACTTACTTTTCTAAGTCTTGTTTCAAAGAGCCACACTCTTTTAAAGATTCATTTAATTGTTCCCGTAGTTCTTCATTTAAGATTTCCAATTCAGCAACCTTGACTGTTTGAAAATCAATCTTTTGTAATTTTGTTGAGAGTTCACTTTCTCGCTCTAAACAGGCCTTATACTCCGTTTTAATCTTGATGAGTTCTGTTTTTAATTCCTGTTCCGTTTCTGAAGTCTGCTTCTCTGTCTTTAAAGAAGGGATTTCTTCATTTTCTTGACTATTCGCCATATTATCGTGTTCTGTTTGGCCATTATTTTCAGCATTAATATCATCACTTTGCTCATTCGCTCTTATATCAGAACACGAACCCGTTTCGTCTGTACAATTTTTATGTAACTCAGATCCATTGGAATTAATATCATTTCTAACCGTTTCTGACATGAGTAATAGTTAGAAATCACAACCAGAAGACGATTACAAACCAACAATGTATACTTGTAAAGGCCTTTAAAACGTAAACAAAGGTCCAACTTGTTGTATTGAGAAATATTAACTCTTATTTTGCATAGCTGCTTCAAATCGTATCATATGCTTTCCCATAAATTCAAGTGTACGTTAGTATACTTTCATAAATAATCCAGCGTTTGGACTTTGATATCGTACGGTTATAGCGAGAAACATTTAATTTATCTTTGTGGTTTAAATATTACCTCGAATTATGGCTGCCTGGACGTCTGGCCATGAAAATATACAAATGCTTTCTGTATGTCTTTTCCCCCTTGTTGATGAAATATTATTGTTGTATTATAGACGAAGATGAGCTTTATTCAAAATCAATGACAAAAAAGAAAAACAATGCCACCAAATGGCTCAAAATTGATTCCAAAATTTACATTTTGATGTTTAATATAAAGTTTCATTCTTTGAATTGAATTGCTCAAAAGTACTTCGTGGGTGCGCGCGTGGTTTTACACGCATGTGTATATGAGGAAAGTAGATCATTTCCGCAATAACAACGCCATTTTCAAGTGTGATGCATTGTGGTCTAGATGATTATATATGTGTGCATGATGTTATGAAGGCGCAGAGGGGGCTTAATAAATTGCTTTCTCTAAAAGGTGGATGATTTGTTGGAGACAGAGCCTTCTTGGATATGTAGAAAGGTTTTTAGATCAGGGGCGGTTGTTCAAAGGTGGGTTAGCGCTAACCCCCGGTTAAAATTTAACCCACTGTTTTGGTTTATGTATTTTTACACGTCTGTTTATTTCAAAACTTCAGAGAAGTGAACTCCTGTCGACCCAGACAAGATTTCTGAAGAAATAATTTCAAATTTATAGACAAGCTGTTCGGAAGTTTGCTTTGAATTTTAGGTTAACCTTGGGGTTAAGCTGATCGACTTTTGAACAACCGGCCCCTGGTGTCAGGCGAGTCATATACTGGGCGACTTTCAAGGCATGGCGCGCGGGTGGTGGTAACGAGGTCATTCTGCGCCAACCTCGCAAGCCAGGGTCTTTTCAATCTCGTTCCCCGAGCCTGCGATCCTCGGGAAGGAACGCGAGGCTCTGGGATAATCCGTTGCCGGAAGCCAGGAATTCTGGCTAAGATTGAACTACACATCCATTTCAACGGCCAATCAGATTCCTCCCTGAAACGGATTATCCCAGAGCCTCACGTTCCTTCCTGAGGATCGCAGGCTCGGGGAACAAGATTGGGGTCTTTTAGCTGCGCTCGGGCTAAGACCCTGGCTTGCGAGGTTGATTCTGCGCCTGAGTGCAGGCTATAGGTACAGTGAAACAAGAAACCCCCTGATTCAGGGTATCGCTTTGTGGTGGGCTGCTAAGAATTCAAGGATGGTGTGGAAACTAAACAGAAGCGATTGTGTTATGTTTTTGTCGGAGTTTATGTTAATTTGTGCACGGTTATTGTCAGCTTATTGCATTCTCGTAAAATAAAGTAATCGTCCAAATGGGATAGCCGAGATGAAATGTACAACGATATGATATATAAAAAGTTGAGACAAAGGATTTGCTCACGGCGAGGTAACATTTCAACATCAAACAAAGGTTTTCTAGTTTGTAGCTTTGAAGACGCAGGGCTTGCACACCTTAATTGACAGACTATGCCCGTACCAGCTCCCAAATAGCGCTTTATATAGTTATATAATACATTTAATAAACAGATTATTAAAGCATATGATATTTATTTGATTCATACATTTAGTTTTTCTACGACTTTTCACAATCAGTGTAGTTCCGTCCGTGCTCAAACGGCACTGGTGGACTGTCCAATGGACTGCACCGTACTAGCGATCCAGTCCATGAAATTTCCAACCCTGGCGTAAACTCCGTAGTAGTCAGGCACAGCACATCCATAACCCCAGCTTGTGGCACCCACAAGATGCCACCGATATCCATCACTGCACATCAACGGTCCCCCGGAGTCCCCTTGACACGTATCCTTTCCCCCTTCTTTGTACCCCGCGCAAAGCATCTCGGATGTAATCAACGATTCATGATATGAGCCATTGGCCGTACACTTTGCATTTGAAACAATAGGAACCTGCACGTGCATCATATGGTCGGGGTCGTCCCCCCCGGATTTCAAATCTCCCCAGCCAGCTAAATAGCACATTTCTCCGGGGGGGAAATCGGAACCAGATTTAGGAAGGCATGCGAAGTTGACTTTAAAGTTATGCACGACATTTTTGTGGAGTTGTAACAAGGCGATGTCGTTGTTATAAGGAGATTCTGCGTTGTAGTCCGGGTGATAGATGGTCCTGACCACATCAAAGTCTTGTTCACTACCAACTTTTTTACTTGTGTTTGTGTAATATGCCCCCATACTATATGAAAAAATCAAAATACCTACATTTTGTCAAAAATATTCATATTCCAATCTTATATACCTGTACATTTGGGTGAATTCACTCTCTTGGCTTTCTGGTGTTTCCGGATCAGAATTTTCGAAAATGTTCTCGTCAGAAAAAATAGCAATAAAAGACACACATGGATAATAAGGTCAGTAGAAAAACAGGTAAGATAGATAGGAAGGTAAGTAAAATGTAGGTACAGTACGTAAATAAATACTTGAATACCTATGTACCTAACTGCGAAAAAAATTTTAGTGGCGAATTTTTTCGCACACCAATCACACAACCAAAATTTGTTTGTTTCACTTTTGTCGTGAAGTTTTGCGTGATACAAAACGGAACTTAAGAGCTAAACATCACTAAAGACATTGATATGGAATTTAGCCCCAAATACTTACCGTACATGACCCATTTCATCAGGTGCATTGCCCACCACGCAATGGGCTGCAGTAAGAACCACATTTGGATATATCAGAGTTCCACCACAATACTGACGAAGTGTACCGCTCCCGTCCTTGTACATTAACATAGCGAGCCAAGGCCAGTCACCCGGCTGGGTTGAATTGCCGCCCACTATACGAACACCTGGTTTTCGACCACAGAACCTGGATTGAGCTAATGGGGATAAATGAAATAAGAAAAATGTGCGAAGAACTAATCGAGTAGAATAAAATCATCTGATTGGTTAATGGTAACGATAGTGGATCGAAAGTCAAAATCTGAACTGCTCTAATTTGTTCAACACAAACAAGCAATTGAGGGACTGTATGTAGTGGCGTAATGGGAAGAGGTAAAAAGGAAAGAGGAAAACTGTAAATCATTGTTTTGTAAACATTGTTGCATTTTTGCTATGTTTCCCGAAGATGGGCAAACCAGAAGACATTGTTTCCGCAACAAAAGTCACACTTGAAAAGCAAAATGTGTGAGTGCACAAAAATGTTTCCAAGGCGGAAACTTTTACTGTGACATTGATTTTCAAATACACTGCAATTCTGTTTCACAAGGCTCATGCACAGCTTTAAATTTATCCAAAAAGTTTAATGAAAACTGAACATTTAAATATCATCTATATATTTTACTGAATTAATCAAGCGTGGATGTTTTTAATGGATGCTTTGAAACGGTTCCGAGACAATAAAATCTTTACAAAAAGAAAGAGAGTTCGTGACTAGGCTGCCTCCATAACCATTACTTACGTTTAAGAGGAGGTTGTGGTGTTGGGGGTTGGGTTGGTACGTGAGGATCAGCTGTGCTTGGAACTAATGCGCATGACTGACTGTATGTAAGGCTGACGTCATCAATTGCAATATCACCACTGTAACTGGGACCAGCGATTCCTTCAAATACTACCTAAACCGAGATAAAAGACAAATGTGCCTGTTAAGCCTATAGTTGTCGCTGGCACGACAAGCGGTAGATGTGAAATAGTCTAATATCAATAGTCTTTTGTGTGATATATGCAAATCAGTCTTAATGATTGCAGAGTTTTATAAAGTTTTATTAACACTCTATTACATCAGCCACTTGTCGTGCCAGCAACAACTAACGACCAAATGGAAACTAGGCTTAAGAATGATATCTCGTAAGAATGTTTGTCAGCAATAATGACAATATTACAAAGTAAAAATTTATGTCATAGCTTGACTGTTGCTAAATCTCTACCATTGTATCGAACTGAACTTACCTGGGATTTTATAGCTGACGATACTAAGGGGACCTGTGCCATTCTCCAATTATCGCCCTGGTTCTTTGAGACCGTCCATATCAATACATCGCCTGAGCTGGTTCTCAAATACACATTGAGCGTGTTCACCGTGTTTCCAAGCATGTGATAATAAAACTCCAGACAATTACTGGAAATATCAAGATCAGGAGAGACTAGACGAGCTTTGTCCTTGTTAAGCCTTGGCCAACTGGTCTCGAGGTACACAAACCATCCTCAAGTGACAAAAATAAAGTACGTTTTTACATAGAAAATTGTTTTAAACAAAGATGGCATTTGACACAATTTCATGCTTCTAAAACATAGAACAAAACAAGATCGACTGGTTTTGTCAAATGCAGTGGTAATTCACTAGCTTGTTGGTTGTGCAAGAAACTCATGATTTTGTCAATAACGGAGGAAAATAAATTACAGACTTCTTTGTTGGTAAAATGGGATAGTCCTTTCCATTTTCATATGAAAAGATGATAAGAATTTATAAGTTGTCTCTTGTACTTTGGATATAAAGCATGTAGGTTCAAGTGTTCCTGCTTTGACTAGCTGAAAATTAATCATGCATGCAGGAGTTTGTCTATACTGTTCATTTTTTCAAACATTGGACTTTGTGTTTTGCCTCTTGAATGCATGTTCGAACTTCGAACCATAGGTTTACATATATCGTTGATCAATATGTTTTGTATATTAAAGCCAGAATGAATCTATCGCAAAAAGCCAGAACTTAATACATCACCACTTACCGTCTCCATGAGTATGGTCAGACGAGGGTCCAGTGTTAAAACTAGGCGTAGAATTACTGCGAGTCCAGTTAAACTCAGCGCTCAGGTCGAAAGTAAAACCACACAAATCATCGGATTCAAAATCACAACTCAAAGCTACAGAAGTGAAAAAAGAGTATGGTTTGCGTAGATAGTTTAACTGTGTTCATCATTTACGCATTTCTGCAGGGCGAAATGTTAGGCCTTACGCCAAATTTCACTCTAATATTCTGCCATATGAATATGACCTGACTTACAAATCAAGCTAGATGAGATATTTATGCACCCAAATAACCACGATGAGTAAAGATAAATAGACTGAAGTTGGAGTGACACTATACACCGATACTTTTTGCGTTTTGCGTAGTTAGTCTTTCTCACACAGCCGATTTTTCCCCCATTTTGGGGGTACTACCTCTCCCGCGTTTGAGAGTGGCCGCACCCCGAAATTCAACTTTTTAGTATTGTAATTGTTTGTATCATGGTAAATTTACACTTACAACTTTTAAAAGTCGCTTTTCACGTTGTTTGGATTGTCTAGAATCTTTCACGAAGGCAGACTCTATGCAGTACCCCCCCCCCCCCAAAAAAAA